TTTATGAAGATTTCATGCATAAGATTTGTACAAGTGAATTAATTGTATTTTTGCATGGTGACTGTGCACATGNATGAGCACCCGAACGTGAGAACCGCCGATATAGATGTTCAGCTAAATTCATTGGTGTAATGATCACTTTTATGGATTTAACTCAACTGGACAACGCAATGGATCACTGTAATTTATTAGCAAATTAACACGTGAAATATTTGAGGTGCAAAACATACAACTTGTATGAACCATATTTACATCACAAGGGCAAAATATACACATTCAGCATGTGAAATACTGTTGCGCTATGTACGGAGCTTATACAATTCATGAATTCAAGAATTGGGAGTAAAATTATCGCCAGAACATAATTCGGGCGTTTCATGAAACTGAATGTGTTATTGATCTCGTAAGACCAGAGTTTACACAACGTATCGAGAGTAATGTGACTGCTCTGATGGAATCGTAAAACTAGTCTCGAATATATTCCATGCATGAGGAAGCAGTGGTGATCACTGATGGTTCAATGGACACATTCGATCATCGACAATAGTTGAACCAGTATCAAACGTTTCATGAAGATTTCATGCATATGATTTGTACAAATGAATTAATTGTATTTTTGCATGGTGACTGTGCACATGACATTAAGGCAAGACAGTCGATGAAGCTGTAGGAATGGGATGAGACTTTTCAACAGGCAAATCATTTCTCTGCACCAAGACAAGAAGTGGTTTAAGAGTGAATATTTCTGAGGCGATTGAAAGAAGCGATAATGACCAAACAAATCAGGCAAAGTTGAACGTTTGACGTTAACGTCGGACTGCGATTACATCCAGGTGATTGATCGTTGCAGCATAAAACGTGAAGGAACGAACCGTCGATATTGCGTATTTTGCGTTTAATACGGTAACCCTCAAACATCCAAATTTTAAATATCAACACAGCAAGGAATTTTCGCATTAATATAATGATTGATTCAGTTCAGGATTTGGATTTGATGAAACAAAAAATAATTAGTTTCAAGCATTCTGAGATACCTTTATCAATCAGTCATTTTCGTATGGAAGCTGAAAAAAATTTATCAGAAACATTTAGCAAGAAATNAAAGTTGAACGTTTGACGTTAACGTCGGACTGCGATTACATCCAGGTGATTGATCGTTGCAGCATGAAACGTAAAGGAACGAACCGTCGATATTGCGTATTTTGCGTTTAGTACGGTAACCCTCAAACATCCAAATTTTAAATATCAGCACAGCAAGGAATTTTCGCATCAATATAATGATTGATTCAGTTCGGGAATTGGATTTGATGAAACAACAAATAATTAGTTTCAAGCATTCTGAGATACCTTTATCAATCAGTCGTTTTCGTATGGAAGCTGAAAAAAATTTATCAGAAACATTTAGCAAGAAACGTCAGCGAAACGGCATGATCACACTTACCTCAGGTATTCGTTGGTGGTTACAAAAATCCAGCATTTCTGGATCATAACAGCTTCTCATAACAACCCACGATCTGTTAATGATACTCTTGCCTTTCATCCTGAATGTGCTATCATCAGAAAATGTGGCGATTTGTTCAGCGTTGTTGAATAGCTGAATGAATTGCTAGTGATAACGATAATGTCGTAAAATGCAGTGCTCTTCTATCATCTGCTCATTTTTATGCAATCAGAGTCTTCAATTAAGATGCATCATGATTAAGCACTCACAACTGATTTGAACTTCACTGACAAGTTGGCATAGCTAATGAATGAGATCAACATGGAACTTACTCTATTGATGTAAAATTTATTACCAAGTAAAAATTCAACAAATAACTAACCGAAGACAGTACGGATTATTGCTGGGACATGCTACGATCTTACCGCCTTGTGTGTCATCCACGCACTTTATCGCATAACTTGATCCCATAACAAGCGCTGCCAACAGAATGAAATGACCAGACCCTAGATGAAACATCGTTGATCTCAGTGCGATCTCAGCGCGTTCCTTCCTAAAAATACGAATCACTCACAATAAGACGACAATGTCCGCGATCAGTTATCACATTCGCGGACGTGCAACTGAAATGACTTGCAGTTTTCGAACGTCCTTCTTTCTGAACAGCAAATAATTCCATCACTTGAAAATCTAATGAAGAACATTACTATTAATTTGGAATGGTGACACTCAATCAGGCTTGTAGAACAGTACGCTTTGACAGTCAACAACATGTTTGCCATGGCTAAGCAAGCAAGCATTGATAGTGAATCAATCATCTAGCTTCATGAATTAAACGGAAAACCAAGTATAACACTAACACAAATCACTTAAATCGATGACANACTTGCAACTGAAATGACTTGCAAATTCCGAACGTCCTTCTTTCTGAACAGCAAATAATTCCATCACTTGAAAATCTAATGAAGAACATTACTATTACTTTGGAATGATGACACTCAGTCAGGCTTGCAGAACATTATGCTCTGACACACAACAACACGTTTGCCATGGGTAAGCAAGCAAGCATTGATAGTGAATCAATCATCTAGCTTCATGAATTAAACGGAAAACCAAGTATAACACTAACA